GTAAGTGATAATACCAATTTTATATTTTCACTAATTGTTTGCTACATCATAATAATTTTTATCGTAAAATTATATTTTATATCATTGTTTTCCTTTAAAAATTTTATTTCGGACAATACTACACTTATCTTTCACAAATTTGATTTTATAACATAATTAATTTTGTCACATCATAACAAATAAATAGATGAATTGCTTTTTAAAAATAAAAATATAAATACTCAACTAATGTCACGAAGTAGTGAATTCTTTATTTCTACTAAATCTTTTAACGTAAAATTTTTCCAAAATTTCTATTTTAAAATAAAAAGAAAGGTCAATTCATCATTAATAAAATTTGCCACATAAGCAACCAATAAAGACTTGCCATCTCACCTTAATATAACCCACATAAGCTTGTCTTTTGGCGACTTTTTAGCAAACGGAGTCTTAAATATTATATTAAAAGATTATATATATTTTTATAACTAAAAAGAAATTTTTATACAATCCTTTTTTAATTATGAAACATTATAAAAGCTTAAGTGAGATTGTAACAAAAAGCACCCTAGCTTGGATGGTTAGCAACTCAACTAAATGACCAAGAGATCCTTGTTTCAAACCCCATGGTGGTATGCTTTTGGAAAAAAATTGCAAAAAAAGAACTGGTCTAACCGGTCAAACCGATCGGTTTGTCTAAAAGGGTGACATATTAACTCGCCACATGTCGCCCTTTAACTTTGCCAAATGTCACCACATCAGCTCGCCACATGTTGTGCTTTAGCTCTGCCAAATGTCACGTTCTTATAGCTCCGACTCTGCTTTATATATATAAAGGATAAAAGATTTAATTTGATCAGGTTTTATCTAATCTTCTTTAATATAATCTATATAATCTGATTCTAATAAAAATATGTATTTGCAATAAATACGTAGTACTTCATAATATGAATAAGTTGAATAAAACAAATCCCTAAAAGGCACATTTTGTTGGCAAATTATATTATACATCCAGTTGTACCCAATTTCGGGTACAACCAAGAAATTATTTATGGTATGAATTTTATTTTACATGAGAATGAACACTAAGTTATTTGAGAATGCGTACTGTTTTGTTCCAGAATGAATACTACATTATTTGTAGATAAATATTATAATTATAGTGAACCAATGTGTAAAAATAAGTACTGCATTATTTTAGAATGAGTATCACGCTAATTATATTTGTGTCAGAATGAGTACTATTCTACTACAGAATGAGCACTACCGGATGTACAGTACGTCCTGTTGTATCATATACTCCCTCCGTCCCCAATTTGATTACAAATTGCGGGTTACGGAGTAAAATTTCTTACTTTTTGAAATCATATTATTTACAAATTGGTTTATTAATAAGATATAAAAATTACATATTAAAAAACTACGTCAAAAGTTCTACAAAAGAAGGGGTGACAAGAATATTTTATTTTATCAAATACTTAATGAAATTGCGTAAACAAACAAAAGTTATCGAGAGGAGAGAAAAAAAATTGTAATCTATTTAAGGATAGAGGGAGTACCTTCTCCATTTTGTTTGAAAGAGAGTGAAGTGATTTATAGTTCGTTTGACATTAGCTTTATCATTTAAATATTTGTCATCATTTGATGAATTTCAATGTTAGGAAAATGAATTCTAAAAAATGAGTTAATTTTCATAAGACATATATTTTCTTTTTTGTTGATATTTGAAGAAATTTAGAAAATTTGAGAGAAACCCCTAAGAAGGACGAAGAAGAAGAGATGCTTTCTCGACATTTTGAGAGAAACCATACACAAAAGGGAGAAATGGCCATAAACTCGCTTATCTTTCCGGAGGTAACAAATGGGTTTCGAGAACTTGGGTCTAGCGAGTAGATTAGAGAGAGAGAGTCAAGAACAAGTTATTCAAAAATATGAGGATGGATGTTAGATTGCTCTAAATTATGTAATTGTTTACCCCTTCATAATATACATTTTATATAATATTTGTAAGAACAAGCTACTGATTATATATATATATATATATATATATATATATATATATATATATATATATATATATGTATATGTATATGTATATATAATGAGTACCGTGTAATAATAATAATAAACGTAATAATTATTATTGGTACCGTGTATAATAAAAAATGTAACATGTGAAACTTAATTTTAAATTATGAATTATTAATGAAGTAATTTCGTACCTCATAAATTTGGTACATTGTAATAAAAAAGGCAAATGTGAAACTTTAATTATTAATAAGGTAATTTCGTACCTTACAATTTTTTGTACTGAGTATGATGGTGTAAATTACTTGACCGGTCAAATTATACTAGACCGGGTCTAGAATAGTTTGCTTGATTTGGTAAAATAAGAAAGATAAGAACACGCAGATTGACCGGTAGGACTTTAGGTGGAATACCTGTAGCCCAATTTATACTACAACGGAGAATGCACGGGTGCTTTTACAAGGGAGTTTATAGAGAATGAATTCCGGATCCCTCTTTCTGAGATTTACTTGAGTATTTATACTAGGCTAAGGGAGACAGGACCACGTGCGCCCACGTGGGGGCACACTGCTAATGTGGTGCGAGGTGTCTGGTTTTGTCCTCGAGCAACCTTGTCGCCTTGTGAGGGGAATTACTTCCCTTGTCGCGTTCTGGCTTGGAAATATTCCTTCGGCATCTCTAGTTGTCCTTCACTGACATGGGTCGCTACACGCCAAGCCCTTTTAGATTCTCTTCTGCCGACACTTTCCAACCCTGGAAACTACACCGGGTAATCTCCGAGGGATAAATCATCGAAGTTAGGGTGACAAAGTAGTTTGACCGGTATACTTCTTCGTGAAGTATACCGGTCATATTTGGGCCGATCACATATCAATTTGCTGATGATTTAAGTCTACCTTCCAAAACTTTCGAGATTGACCGGTCAACTAATTAGTCTTCTCCTTTGACCGGTCGTGAGTGGAATACACCCATCAGAGTATAATAGAAAAGGTAACATATGAAAGAATAATAAAATGGTAGTAATATGGTACCATACAATAATAATAATAATAATAATAATAATAATAATAAACATAATATTAGCAATAAAGGTAAGTTGGTTTTGTACTATCGTGTCTAAAATTAATGAAAGTGTTGACTTGATTTAAAAAAATGTATTCACATACCTTATATATTTTACCAAAATTTTAGATTATAATATTAATTATTAATTATTAATAAGGTAATTTCATACCTTATATTTTTTGGTACTTTGTAATAAAAAAGGTAACATGCAGAATAATAATAATAATGATATGAAAATAATATGGTATCGTATACTAATAATCATCATAATAATAAACGTAATAATAACAAAGGTATATTAGTTTTGTGCTATTACCATGTATAAAATAAATGAAAGTGTTGAGTTTATTTTAAAAAAAATATATTCACACACCTTATATTTTTTTACCAAAAATATAAATTATAAAATTAATTATCAATTATTAATAAGGTAATTTCAAACCTTATAGTTTTTGGTATCGTGCAATAAAAAATGTAACATGTGAAACCTTAGTTATTAGTTATTAATTATTAATTAGTAATTATTAAATATTAATAAGGTAATTTCATACGTTATAGATTTTGGTACCGTGCTTTAAGAAAGGTAGCATGTGAAAGAATAAAAAGAATATGGTAATAATATGGTACCGTATAATAATAATAATCATAATAATAAACGCAATAATAGTAAAGGTAAGGTATAAAGAAACTGTATGCTGCAGTTTCAAGAGTGACAAATTATACTGGCTAGAGATTCCGATATGCAACGAACACAATGTTCCCACAAATGGTACGAATAATGTAGTTTACAAAAAGTCTTTTGAAATTTCTAAGCAAAAATCTTTTGTACCTTAAAATAACAAAATCTTTATATTCTAGTATTACATATCATTATTTATCATTAAAAAAATTATTTTAATAATATAAATATGACCGGTGCAACACAAAAATTGTCAAACCAAGAATTGTCAAACCTAATAAGGAAAAGAAGCTATTAATCGCATGAACAGCTCAAGTAGCTTGAGGTGTAATTTGGAACGAACATTTCGCCTTTTACAAGGAAAAAAGCCATTGACACCCCCACAGCGTCAGCTGCATCCGTTACAGTACCATTGCCTTAAACAGTAGCAATTCGTCGTGCCATATCCGTATTTTTATTGGTTAGCCTTGGCGCCTTCGAACTGTGGGTCGCTGGACAAGAAGACCCAGATCTTTTTTTCCCCTTCAACGTATTAATTCCAGGTATGCTATAATTCTTCTTGTTTGACTGATCCTGGAATCGGGTTTGATCTCTTTGTTATGAATGGCTTGCGTTCCTGCCCCTTGATTTTCACGTGCAAAGACTCTTCCTTTGACGGGCTGTTTCCTGTGGAATGAGATTTCTGAATATTTCCCATAGGGTTTACTTTTCTTCTTTTTGTTTGTTTTGGTTTTGAGTGCTTGGTGTGGATTATCGTGTTTCGTTTAGTCAAATTTCATAGCCACACTTATCCTGCTGATGAAATTAATGCATGAATGCGATTGTGCCATGAACTTTCTGTTTGAAATGCAAGCAGCTGTAGAATTCTCAACCGGGAATAACGTCATCCCTACATTGGCATTATAATAATTCTTCAGATTTTTGTGTGGATAGTTACTTCATGTTTCCACAGGTGATGCTTGTATAGCATTGACAGGTAGAAGGTTCTAATGGCAGACAACCAAGAAAACAGCGCATTATTTCCGATTTTCATATTGTCAGTGATCTGTCTGCCTTTAGTCCCTTACACCGTGCTGAAAATTTTTCGTGCTTCTACGAAGAGTAAAAGGAGAATCCACTGCGAGTGTTCAGTGTGCACACGATCTGGAAAATACCGCAAAACAAATTCTCAGAAGGTCACTTACCATTTGCAACTGGCCTTTAGTATATTCTTACTAGTGAGAGTGATGTGTTTCTATGCATATGTACTAACTCATGCTTTTTAATGGTTATGCCTTCTGCAGATATCAAGCTTCTTTAGCTGCAGTAATTTGACCATTGTTTTGCTTTGGTTGGTAGTTGGCCTACTTGCTTATTCTATTAAGCAAACCGGACGCGAGGTAAATTTTTCACGTATACCTGTTGACCTTTTGGGTTGGAACCTAAAGTATTAATCTGGTATCAAAGCCCACTGAGCTCAAACGAGCCCTTAATTAGTTGTTAACTTTTCAAGTCATATTCTCGTATTTTTTTCTCATTATACCCATAGGAGTGGATGACTACATTCATTCTTTTTTGTATTCCATTTTCTTCTATCGCAGATTCAAGTGTTTGAGCCATTTAGCATTCTTGGACTGGAACCTGGAGCTTCAGACTTAGCAATAAAGAAAGCCTATAGGAGGCTTTCTATTCAGTACCATCCTGACAAAAATCCTGATCCTGGTTGGCTGAGCACCTATTAGTGCACAAGACTTATGAAAATATTACTCCTGTCTTATTTTCTTTGATACTCCCTTCACCCCGTTGCTTTTTTCCCAAGATGCTCACACTTTTACCCCTGTTAAAATAGGGAAGTTGTTCCCGTTAAGACCCTAGATGCGTTGTTGCATTAATTGCTCAAAGCTTCAAGGAAGAAAGAAACAGTGGAAGTTTAGCATGCCATTTTTATTAAACCCATTATGTGCCAGAAACTAGAACAATGTCAATTATGTCCCTTTTAGCTCCATTTGCAATGGACGGAATTGAACCCCATTGCCTTTTTCCCAAGTTTCCTAATTTGTTCATTCTGATAACTTTCCTAGCTTCCATTGGAGGAAAAAAATTGCAGTTCATGAATTTTCTTTTTCTTTATAATAAACCCCAACCACAGAATTTTGTGATATCATAATTTTTTGCTAAGGAAGGTAGGATAAAACCATCGGGACAAAGGGAGTACTATTTTATAGTTTAATAGTCATGTTACTACCTGTATATTATCTAAATTGTGATGTACTGTGCAGTTTTTACATATCTAAGTTATACTTGAATCATACTATTAAATAAAATATTACAAAGGTTAAACTGTAAATATTTTCAGTCTTCCCTCATTGCACAAGTAGGACATTTAAAATGGGACAGTAGCAGACTACAATGTGACTTATAGATTTAATTAGTAGTTACTCTCCAAATTTTCAGGTGCGAATAAGTATTTTGTGGAATACATATCCAAGGCCTATCAGGCTCTGACAGATCCAATTTCCCGTGAAAATTTTGAAAAATACGGGCATCCAGATGGTAGACAGGTTAATTTCCTTCTTTTCATTACTTCACTTTTAACAGACAGATATAATCCCATCATCATACCGACACCATTGTGCCTTGGTATAGGGTTTTCAAATTGGAATAGCTCTTCCGGAGTTTCTACTTGCTGGTGCATCCGGTGGAGTACTGTTAATATGGATTCTCGGTGGGCTTATTCTGTTGCCACTGATCGTTGGTGTCATATATCTGTCAAGATCGTCAAAATATTCTGGAAATGTCAGACATGAAACTGTGTCTGCCTATTTTAAATTAATGAAGCCATCACTTGCTCCAAGGTTTAGCAGTTATCATGCTCTTCGTCTATGTACACTATCTAAATAGTATTCTTCCACTAAGTTAAAATACAATATGTTGGCTATGTGTGCATCAATTTTCCCTTGGCGAAGGCTATGTGAGCCAAGTCACACTCAAATGTCGTGGGCGCTTGTGTGTGCTGAATGCACTATAAGGCTAGGGTATGCGCTTCTCCTAACACCAATTGGTTTCAGGAGAGTAGGTAGCGCGTGAGGTCCTACACAATATAGAAGGTTCACCATTCATGTTTTTTTTCCTTTGGGTTCATTTTTGTCTTATAACAATCAAATAATGACTCGGTCTCAAAAGACTCATGATTCGTCAAAGCGCAACCTAATTAAATTTTTGTATGGTATGACTCTTGCAAATCATCTGCCGTACTTATATTTTTAGCATACTTTCTCCGAACACTTCCTCCTCACCAGAAATTCAGAAAATTGTACCAAATTCAATAAAATAAGCTCTAGCTGTTGAAATCGACTTTTGATTATAGAAAGATAGGTTGTGACTTTAAATATGCATTGGTCATTTGAATTTTTCAGTAAAGTAGTGGAAGTTTTCATTAAAGCTGCTGAATATATGGAGATTCCAGTTCGGAGACAAGATGATGAACCCCTTCAGAAGCTTTTCTCAATTTTAAAAGGAGAGCTGAACTTGGAGGGAAAGAATTCCAAACAGGAGCAAGCAAAATATTGGAAGCAACATCCTTCACTGATTAAGGTAATATACTAATGTTATGGGGAATGTTTATAGAGTCAATACTGCGTGTAGTCAATATGGTCTTCGGCTATGTACTTTGGACTCACTCTATTCTTTAGACATAGTTTACTCTAATTATGAAGGGTATTTAGAACAAAATATGTATGAGAACTCAACCGGGTATTAACTCATAATAAAATATACTTCCCGGATTTGCTGATTCACTTTCTTTATTCTTTTTTTCATTTCAGACAGAGTTGTTGATTCAGGCACATTTAACACGTAAAACGGAGACTTTATCCCCAGATTTGCAAAAGGACTACAAACACGTGCTACAATTGGCCCCTCGTCTTTTGGAAGAGCTATTTGTGGTAAGTTGGAGTATTGGATTGTGTAATTCGTAATGCAATCTAAGAGCCCTGTTGGTCAGTGTTATTTGGCTGCTGCATTTTCTAAAAGGAAAAGCATTTTGTAACATAAACCAATTATGGCCACCACATATAGCCTGATTTTCTTATCCTGCAGTGATTTGTGATGAATTCTAATAAACACCCCAAGTGACTGCTTCCTTAGAATTGATAAAAGTGCTCTGCAAATGTTTGATGTTGATGTGATATTTCTTTGTAATTGCGCTACCCATTCACATAGCTTGTGATTCTCACGACACACAGATGGCTGCTCTACCACGCACTCCTAAGGGACACGGATGGCTGAGGCCTGCAGTAGGAGTGATTGAACTTTCCCAATGTATTGTTCAGGTTACACGTTTTCTGGAATATATGATTACTTGTTTTTTTAATTACTTCATAATCTAATAAGGCTAACGATGGATGATGATGGTGGTGATGATGATAATGATGATAATGATGCAGGCTGTTCCTCTTAGTGCAAGGAAGGCGGTTCGAGGAGGGTCTGGCGGTGAAGGTGTTGCTTCATTTCTGCAGCTTCCACATTTCAATGGTGCAGCTTTTGAAAAGATAGTACAAAAAGTAAGCAAGCATTAATTTCCTTGTTTATTGTGGCGCTGCTGTTTCTGTGACTAATATCTCATGTGCTAAATTGTTAAAACTTAAAATTCCCAGTAATATTTTTTTTAATTAGAGAAAATATTTTAGTTACATCGCAAGGGCATGTTTAGATCAACAACAACAACAACCCAGGTGAATCCCACAACAGTAGGGTCTGGGGAGGGTGTGTGTACGCAGACCTTGCCCCTACTCGGAAGTAGGGAGGCTGTTTCCAAGAGACCCCCGGCTCCCATGTTTAGATCGTGGAAAGTTATTTTCTCATGCTCGGCTCTACCTTGGACTATGCAAGGGAATCTAAAATATGGTTAATCTTTTGGTTCTTTACCACTATATGTTTGAAGTTTTTAGTCTTTACATAATATAAATAAATGAACAAATATTTAAAATAAATTTATTGAGTGCAAGTCTATCCCTTATTTTCTGTCAAATTTTATTGCTCTCCATATTTTCTTTTCCTTGCATTTTCTGAGTGCCAAGCAGACCGAGAACAAGTATTATGTTATTAATATTTATTTAGTAGAGTTAATTGTGGTCATTTATTTATCGGGTCAAATTTTTATCAAATATAAGTTAGTTACTAAGTAGTAATTAATGTGTAAGGGGCCTAAATTCTAGGGGTAGTTACTATACTTACCCTAAATTCTAGGAATAGTTAATGTGGCAGTGGGCTTAAATTCTAGGGATTGGCAGTTATTTGGCTTCTATAAATGTTGAGGCTCATTATTTGTAAAATCCATCCAGGAGCAATTAAATATTTACCATTTGGAGAGAAATCAGCGGCTTTGTTCAGCTGGCAAGTCACTAACTTTTTTTTTTTGCAGCATTGACTAACTAGCTTAGGGCATTGAACATCCTATTAATTGAATTATAATTGATAATTAGTTTAAACAAATAAGCTTAGTAAGAAAGGTTCAAAAAAATCAATTAATCAATATTACATATTTAGTCATACTAAATACTATAAATACTAAAGAATCTGAACATTTGTTACATTTTGAAGAGTTTTAGCCAAATTGGATTTGTCTTTGTATTTCCCAAGGTAAAACCAAACATAGAAACAATGTTTTTGGCTCGCCCTTTTCCCCTTTTCCCTACCATTTTCTGGGTTCCAAAGTAGCCGTAGAGTCAAGGCCTCCAGTATGAATGGTTTTTACATTTCATTCTACCGTATAGCTAAACCGTTTTTGCATTTCATTCTTTCGTCTAACCAAATGATGTTTCCTGGTGGATAGGCTTGGACCTTGCAGGATCTCCAAGACATGACCTCTCAAGAACGCTCCAAGCTGCTCATGGAAACGGCTGGTTTCTCCTCTCATGAAGCGCAAGACATTGAAAAGGTTCTGGAATTGATGCCACGTGTCACAGCTGAAGTCAGTTGCCAGACCGAAGGGGAGGAGGGAATACAAGAGGGAGACATCGTCACAGTCCAGGCGTGGGTGACAGTAAAACGCACCAATGGATTGATTGCCTCCCTCCCCCATTGCCCATTTTACCCCTTCCCCAAGGAAGAAAACTTCTGGTTTTTACTTGCGGACGCGGATGCAAACGACCTCTGGTTCTCCCAAAAGGTCACCTTTATGGATGAAGCCGCAGCGGTAACTTCTGCTTCGAAAGTGATAGAGGCTAGACTGGAAGCTTTAGGGAAGGACACGGAGCAAGTCAATGCCGCGGTCAAAGAAGCCGCGGAACGTGTCAGGGGTGGGTCCCGGCTGGTGACTGGGAAGATCAGAGCTCCTGCAGAAGGAAACTACAACCTGACTGGTTATTTGTTGTGTGATGCGTGGGTGGGATGTGACAAGACGGTAAGCGTGAAAGTCAAAGTGTTGAAAAGGAACAGAGGTGGGTCCCGCGGGGGTCGCAATGTGGGGAGTGAGAATCAAGAGAATGTTCTAGAAGACGTTGAGGAAGAAGAGGATGATGATGATGATGATGATGATGATGATGATGTTAAAAGCGAGTACAGCGAAGATGATGATGTAGAGGAGGAAGAGAAGCAAGCCATTATTAAAGGTAAAAAGGGCAAAACCTTTGGGAGAAAGAACCATTAGGGAATCTTATTTCTTTCCTTTCTTTTTTCTTTATATTTTAAAAAAAATGGTAATTTTTCTGTACTTTACAGTTTAGACTATAGAAGATGATGAGCTTATAAACATCTTACTTTAGCACATTAATGATGCTCGTAAAATGCAGCCGTGGTTACAAGAGAGGAAAGCTGGTAATGAACAAAAAACATAACGTAATCTTACATATTTGGTGGAAAGAAATAAAGCCTAATGGGCTTATTGGGGGGTTTTTTTGGGACTTAAATATCAGTGTGCTCTAATAATGGTTTGAGTCCTTATAAAATGGAAATGTGTTCCATTAAGAGAGTCTTTAGTCGTTGTTTAGGTGAGTTATTTTGAATTATTTAAATAATAGAAAGTTAAGATATAGTTGTATTAATAATACTCCCTCCGGTATTCAAAAAAATAGATTGAATTCCATAAAGGGTCCCCAGTTATAAGTCCTTTTACATATTTTAATTCCTACATATCAAATATTACTAATTTAGGCTCCGTTCCGTTCAACTTATTTTTTCTGATCTGATCTGATTCTAATAAGTTCTGATCTGGTCTGATCTGATCTGATCTGATCTGAATTGGATCTGATCTGATCTGGTCTGGTCTGATCTGATTAATTATGATTTAATTTAAAATTTCAAATCAATAATTTAATTTGACTTTATAATACCGTTTGAAAATTGTAATGATAATTCATATTATAATATAATCAATATTTTTTATTTAATGATTATTTTTTAATAAAATAAAAATAGTTAATTCATATATTAGAATAATCATTCATATTATAATGTAATAATATTTTTTATTTTATGATAATTTTTTTGTAAAATTAGAATTATACATTAGATTAAATATTTAATTTAGATATACAGTAAAAAGTAATTAAATTTAGATAATCAATATATAGAAGAGATAGTATTTTTATTAAAATATCTCATCCTTATAAAAGATCAAAAGTTTAGAAACTCAAACTACAAGTAGCAATAAAAATATATTTTAAAAGTAGAATTAGATTGATATTGTCAATGTATTTTAAAACTAATTTTTCCGACGTCTAATAATTAAGGATTGCTTTCTCAGTTTTCTATTTAACCTATTTCTAAAGTTTATTCTTTTTCATTTTTAAAAACAATGATGATAATAATAATAATAATAATGATAATGACGATGATGATCATAATAATAATAATAATAATAATAATAATAATAATAATAATAATAATTCTTGATGAGATCTGATTTTAATAAGTCCTGATCTGATTTGATCTGATCTAATTGGATCTGATCTGATCTGATAGGATCTGATCTGATCTGATCTGATTCGATCTGATCTGATCTGATTTGATCTGATTCGATCTGATCTGATCTGGTCTGATCTGATCTGATTTTAATAAAAATAAGAAAAAATAAGAAAAAAAATAAGTTGAAAGGAACAGGGCCTTAGTCCCCAATTATTGTATCATTTTTCACGAATGGTCTTTTGTTAACGTTTTTGTTAAGAACAACGATAAAATTGTATATTTATATTTCTCTCTCTCCTCAATTAAGCTTCTTCCCTCCTCTCGTACTCTTTTCCAAACTCGTCGCTGAGTTTGAAGCTCTAAACCCAAAACTGAAATGATCATTTCTCTCTCAATTATTGGTCTTCCTGGTAAAACCTGAAATCAAAACCAATAAGCTTTATGGATGAGTTTTATCGGTTAGTGTCAAAAAATTGCATAGAAAATAAATATTAAACTCATCCATGAAGGTTGCTGGTTTCGAATTTGGGTTCCACCAGTTAGACAAACAATTGAGAAAAGTGATTATTTCGGTTTTGGGTTCAAAGTTTCAAACTCAACGTTTGGTTTGTGAAAGGAGTGCGAGGGGAGGGAGGAAGCTTAATTGAGGAGATAAAGAAGTGTGAATTTACAATTTTATCCACATTCTTAACGAAAATGTTAACAAAGGACCATTCGTGGAAATGAATATGATAATTGGGGACTAAATTAGTACTCCCTCCGTCCCATTTTAAATTGCCTGTTTGTCTTTTTTCTCCGTCCCAAAATAAATTGCCTGTTAATTGTTTTCGTAAACTTTTAAAAATAAAATACCTAAACTACCCCTAAAATAAGTCCCTCTTCTTCACATTATCTTCTCATTCATCATCACCTCTTCTAAAAAGTAATGACAATTTCGGAAAATCAACTCTATTTTTTATTTTCCTTAAATATGCCGAAAAATCAAAACAGACGATTTAAATTGGGACGGTGGGAGTAATATTTGATATGTAGGGACTAAGGGCCTGTTTTTAGGATTGGAAAAAAAGAGCTGGAAACTGGAAGAAACTGGAAGAAACTGGAAGAAACTAGAAAAACAGGAAAAAATTAAAAGAAACTCAAAAAACTAGAATAAATTGTAAAATCTAAAAAAAGTTTTTAAAAATTTTTTATGTGTGGTTTTAAATTATTCTCATTCTGATTCTTGTTGATATAAATTATTGTTGTTGTTTTTGTTGTTGTTGTTGTTAGTGGTGGTGGTGGTGGTGGTAGTGGTGGTGTTATTACGTTATCTAAATGATTGTCTTTAAAATAAAAAAAATATTACGAATATTATTTTCATACATAAAAAGATAGTTTAAAAAAATAATTAGAGATGAACTAGCACTTAATATTCTACAATGTAGTTAAACTTAATTGAAGGTACTATATTTTAGATTAAAATATTGATGTTTACGTTATATAAATTTAGATTAAAAAATATTCTACTCCCTCCGTCCCAAATTATTTGCCACATTTGTATTCCCGAGGCAGAATATTAAATTTTTTCAATTCATTTTATTTACATATTGGTATAGAAATAAAAAATAAAATTTACATATTAAAAAACTACGTGAAAAGTTCTTCGAAATAAGAGGTGTCAAGAATATATTATTTTATCAAATAATCAATGAAAACATCGAAATAAACAAAAATTCCCGCGACTGTTGAAAAAGCAAATGTTGTGAATATTTAGGGACGGAGGGTGTATATAACTATTTAACCATAATTTTTTAAATAGTTTCCTATTTTTTCTTGTAGATTAATATACAAAAAATGGTATTATACATATTAAAAAAGTTGAAGAAAAAAAATAATGAATATGAATCATAAAAATAGTGAGATGACAAAATGAAATAATTTATAAACTATAGTTATCAACATAAAAGTTGTAATTAAAAAACTGTAAGAATAATAATAATATATTTTTTTAGAGTGATTTGTCAAAAAGTAGAAAGAATTTGAAGAAAATAAATATAGTTGGAAGAAATTAGAAGAAACTGGAAAAGACAAGAAAAACTGGAAGAAATTGGAAGAAACTGGAAGCAACTGGAAGAAACTGGAAAAAACTGGAAGAAGCTGGAAAAAACTGGAAGAACTGGAAGAAACTGGAAGGAACTGGAAGAAACTGGAAGGAACTGGAAAAAACTGGAAGTTAAGAGTTCAAGTCCAAAAGAACAGGTCCTAAATATGTAAAACAACCTAAAACTGGGGACCTTTTATTGAATTTATTCAAAAAAATAATACTCTCTCCATCCCTAGTTGTTTACACTTTATGCATAACGTTGTAAAATTTTAAGTTTTTAAATTTATTTTATTTAAAGATTGGTAAATAAATTTAAAACAGAACTTGCATTTGTAAAAATCACGTCAAAAATTTTACAAAACAAGAGACGATAGGAATAATTTATTTTATCAACTAATTTATCAAAATGTACAAATAAATGAATGTGTCTGTGACTTTTGAATAGTAGAGAGTCTAATATTTTTTGGAACAAAAAGAGTACTTAAGATGAAGTAATAAGTGCTCCAATTGGTGCTCCATATCAGCCTTTTTTTAGGTGAAATAACTCACTTAAGCAACCCAATTAAAAATGGTCTAAGTAAAATGAATGTTTTGCTATATTATGTGCGGTGGGGTTCTAGTGACACTCACTTTTGGTGACACTAGCGGTGTTAATGTCATTTTGGAGCTCTTTCGGTGATTCGTTCGTAAAATTGACGGTTCCTACGGTGGGCTCAGGGTCGGGGTGCAGGGGCGGGGGTAGAGTGGGGGTTTAGGGGATGGATTAGTGAGGATTTTACGAACGGAGCACCGGAAGTGCCCCAAAATGACAGTGACACCAGAGCGTCATCGTACTCCGATGTCACTAGAACTCCACCGTATTACGTGTAAAAAATGATGAACATTTAAATGATAAATTATGCTGAAAGTAAGCTCGTTGATCAATTCTTAATGAACTGAGTCAAGTTTCTAAATGAAGGTAGGATGGATTCTCGCATTGAATACTCAATTCATCAAATATATTATCATTTTACAAAGAAGTGCTAAAAATAAGTTTTATAGCTTTAGTAGTTAGGCTATCGCCTTAGTTTCGCCTAAGACGCCTCGTACTGCCTCAACAACCCAAGGGCCTCACCGAGGCCACCTGTTGCGCACCCCTATGAGGCAATAAACCTTCGCCTCACCACCTTAACGCCTCGAAGCTAACATCCCTTTTTCGCTTTTTAAAGTCATGGTCAAGCTGAACAATAGTTTTTGTCTCAGAGTTGAAGGTGTTAAAATTGCTGAAGGGAACGAACATGGCTTCTAATGTTGAATGAGATGCTTAAAGCTGCGAAGACTAAAGAGGGGGGTTAAGAGAGAACAAACATTTTCACTTTTATTGAAGTGAAAGCACTAAATAGAACACAATTTGATGAGAACTAGCTTTTATTATGTCAAAAAAATATAACTCAAAACCTAATGCAATAGCTTTCATACCTATCTCATATGACTCTCATATCAAAACTCATGGCTTGCCTATGATATACTCCCTCCGTCCCCAATTTGATTACAAATTGCCGGTTACGGAGTAAAATTTCTTACTTTTTGAAATCATTTTATTTATAAATTGGTATATCAATAAGATATAAAAATAAAAAATCACATATTAAAAAACTACGTCAAAAGTTCTACAAAACAAGAGGTGACAAGAATATTTTATTTTATCAAATACTTAATGAAATCGCGTAAACAGACAAAAGTTATCGAGAGGAGAAAAAAAAATTATAATCTATTAAGGGACGGAGAGAGTATATAGTGTTAACCTAACTTGGTCAAAAACTATGCTAATTAATCCTAGGACCCATATTTCTCTGGTGAAGGGTTATAATACATCTTACTCGAACTATAATATCTTTGGTGATGAGATATAATACATGGCTCGGCCATATTTTCTAATTATTTACGAATAACAATCAAATTAGGTTTGTTTAATAAAATGAAGGAATAAGAGAATATTACCCGAAGATGCTCCTCCTCCTTCCCTAAAAAAAGGAGGATTTGCCCTCAATGTTAAGAGGCATGTCACACACTCCTCTCCCCTGCTCAGTGCTTTCTCTTTCTAAAGTACATATTTTCTTCTTCAAGAGCTCAAATGCTTCATTAATGGCTTCTAAGCCTAAAGAATGTACAGCGTACAAATCCCCGATATTAATAAAAATCCCACGTTGGCAAAGTACCACCAAAAAGGCCTGTGATTTTCTTCCAATTGGGTTTCCACGTCAAAATTCTCGTATTTGTATTTTGGTATATTTTGTTAGACTAGTTTTTCCACCCAAGGACTCTTTCCATTTTCTTCTGCCAGCATACCTAGCTAGCCACCCAATGTAAGATGACTATTTATCATGACAGGAAGGTTTGACCGTCTTTTTCAATACAATAGTAGCCACCATTTAAGCTTGGACCGTGCTACACTCCACCCGCCCCTGCATCCGTTGCTGTCTCCCTATTTATTTATTTTTTTTTAATACTTTTTCTCCTTTTTTTTTTCTTTTTTTTTTCTTTCCTCTACGTCGCTCTGGCTCTGCTCTTCCGCGCCAACCAGCCGCAGGACTCTCCTCTCCCTATCTTCTTTTTCTTATCTTCCTCTTCATATCTCTGATGCGCCAACCCCTATAGCACGACCATCCCTGTGTCAATCTCTTCTCTTCATTCCTTTTTTAGTCAATTTCTATAGAAATAATTATTTGAATTTTTGTGGAGTACATAAGGTATTTGGTGATTATGGACTTACAAACATGTATTCTTACACATGTTGAGAATGATCAACCACATGATTTTGGTGGTGAAAAAGAAGACCTGGTTTTATATGAGGTGCAGCCCAGTTGTAAGTGTTAATATTTAGACCTCATTCTATATTCATTTGAAGTAGTGAAAAAAAACTATTTTGTTTTAATGTTACAGAGATTAAAGTTCTGTGAACCTAGGGTTTGTCCTTGTCAGAGATGCTAATAATTTGTATGTGCTCTGCATTTGGTGTATTTTTTTCTTCGTAGTCAGGCATTGTATTATATTAAATGTACTGTTTTTTGCAGCTTTTGAGCCAAATTTGTTTCTTAACGATCCTTGCTTTCAGTATTTGTTTAACGACGAAGGGCAACAACAGGCTAGTGGTGAGATCAGACAGAACACAGATGACATTAACAATGATGTTCGGTAGGGGTGAGCAAGTACCGAACCGACACCGAAATTTCCCGAAAAAACCGAGAATACTGAACCGAAAAATACCGAACCGAAAAAATACCGAGAAGGAACCGAACCATACCGAACCGAATGGTCGGTACGGTATTTGGGAACGGTACGAGGGGACGTCCCATACCGAAAATCCCGAACCGAACATATATACTAAAATATTATAAAAAAATAATACTCCGGAGTAATATTTTTATATTCCTTCACTAAATAATACTCCCGGTAATTTTTTTATAAAAAAAATTAGTTCAAGTAAATTTTTGTGTATGAACATAAAAGTATTCACAAAGATTTGAAATACTCCTTTATTGTCGTTCATTTTTTTAGTTTGTGAAATATAAACTAAGTTTTGATAAGCATCTCTTGCATTTAAATATTCATGTTTTTTTAATTTTCATGTTTTTTTATTTAAATTCACTTTTTAATTTTCAAAAATAAAGGGACATTGTTAAATTTTAACGTGTAAAGTAGGTACGTATATTCATCCCGATTTGTACTGAAACCGATACCGAACCATCTCGAACCATACCGAACCGATATTTCGGGATCGGGATCGGTACGAGGTAAAATCCCATACCGAACTGAAATACTTGGTACGGTAACGGTACGAGCTAAATACCGTACCATACCGTACCATGCTCACCCCTAATGTCCGGAACAATGGTCAGTGTCCTTCTAAAGGAAACAAAGGTAGCGTGCCTGAAGTGGGGATGAGAGGACTAGAGGGAAAAGAATTGTCAAAAGAAAACAAGAAAAAGACTACAGAGAAAAACCCGAAACCGAAAGAAGGTAGAAAAAATGATAACCTACCTAATAAGAGGAAGAAAATGGATGCGTCTAAGACCTTTGCATCACAACGGCAGCATGCTTGGCCCGTGCAAGACGAAGATGGTGTTTACGACCTCACCTTGGGAGGTCTGGATCGGAGCTTGGACGTGGAATTGGAGTTGTCCGAATTCTGTCGCTTGTGGAGGTTGAAGCGGGAGAAGGAAGATTTGGGAATTTTGGGGATGAAGGCGGGAGACGAAAAGACTAAGAATAAAGGAAAATTGAAAAAAAATTAAATATATTGGGTGGCATGCTTGGAGGCACACATGGTGCCTCTTTAGCATTCTCGTTTAAGATTTACTCAGATCAAACACATCAAGTACTATTCTTGTCAATCACATGGGCTCACCAATAATAGAAAGATAAGAGCACTGGGTATGGTCATCACGCCCACTAGCGTTAGGGCCGTTTTAACGCCCCGGGGGCGTTAATCACCGCCCCCCGACGCACACGGGCGTCACACGGCCTGTGTCAAACGAATGACGCTTCGTCATTCTCCTTCCCCTCCCCCTTTAACGGCTATAATAGCCGTTGGACTCAAAAAAAAATTTCCTTATAAATTCAAACCCCCCCAATCTCTCACACCTTCCTTCTTCACTCTTCTTTTCTTCAATCTTGTTCTTCCCAAATTTTAAATTTCGAAATCACTCCCTCTCTTTTCAACATGAATCCTTCCGGCTCCGGCTTCTTTTCCGACAATCTCCCGCCAAGCGACGCCGCGATGTGGTATTACCAAGAGTGGGGCGATCAACCGCCGATCTACGAGACACAACAATCGGGGTACGTCGAGCGAGATTCGGTTCCGGGGATTCAACCGGAAACGACCGGGTCGAAAAAAATTACACGCCGGAAAAGCTACAAAGCTAAAGGCACGATGACTAAGGCTGCACGGTCAATCCAAAAGTGGACGCCGGAGGAGGAGTGCTTATTGGGTGTAGCTTGGGTTGACATTTCCGAGCATCCTATCATTGGTAAAAAATTTATTTTTTCTAAAATATTTATGTTTTTATTTATATATATATATTATATTTAATCGTGTCTAAAAAAATTGTGTTATACATTTTTAAAGGTTCGGAGCAAACGAAGGATGCGATGTGGAATCGTATCGAGGAGAAGTTCTTCACGGCGATGAACAAGGACGGCTCCTACCGAACCCGGGACCAACTCACTTCCAAATGGAGCCACATCAACCGTAAAGTCCGAAAGCTTATCGCAGTTTACGAGGAATGCTCCCACTCCTGGAGGAGCGGGACGAACGACGCCGATGTTCTCCGGCTTGCCACGGCCCGGTATCAAGACGACGGGCACCAAGGCAAGGTGCCCATCGATCTTTGGAGGATTTTGAGTCGTTCCCCGAAGTGGCAACAACTCAACAATCCCGACGGCGGATCGTTCTGGAAAAGATCCTCCGTCGACGCCGAGGTTGAGGTCGACGAGACTATCGGTTCGACCGATCAAATCCCTCCCTTCAACGTTGCGGATTCCGATGACGAGGACCTCATTCCACGGCCGATCGGAAGAAAGAAGGCAAAATCCATTGCCTCGGGTTCAGGAGGGTCCGGCTCTGTTTCCGTTTCTTCTCGTGACGAAATCGGCCGGGAAATGGTTGAACAACTTCGGGCATTCAATCTCTAAGAAGAAGAGATGTTGAAACTAAAGGAGAAGGAGTTGATGCTAAAGGAGCAGGAGGCCGAGATGAAAGTCATGGAAACCGACCTTTCTACGTTGTCAGGTTTGGGACGAATGATCTACGAGCAAAGAATAAGAGAGATCAAGGAGAAATATAATTTTCCTTAGTTTTTTTATTTATTAATGTATCTTTTTTTATTATTGTCGTTTTTATATTTAATGAATGTATTTTTTTATTATTCGTGTTTCAATATTATTAAATAATAAATTAATTACATTTTATTAATTTAATTTTAGAAGATGTATATTTAAAAATGTAAAAAATTAAGGTTTGAAGCTCCAGTTTGAAGCCCCGGGGCTTCAAACCCATTTCCAGTGAATTTTGGGTGTAAGTTAAAGCTGACGTGGCAGAGAGAGAAAGTTTGAAGCCTCGGTTTCAAGCCCTGGGGCTTTAAACGTATTTCCAGTGCCCTAATGCACAAATTATGGTGGAAAGCAAAGGAACGTGGAGTTCACATGGGTTATCATCCATGAGCCCCAAGGGAGAGCTCATTTATTTAAGTTACAATACCCAATGATTGCATTCGTCTCACTCAATTGTCAAGAATATGTATATACTAGCATGGCACACACGTTGTGTGTGTGTGTGCCCAAATTGTTTCTATAATGTGCCATGATTTTGTAGTATGGCTTACGTGTAGTACTTTACGAGAAGTTTAGACATTGTTTTACAAAAATTGAAGTGATCACCTACACTTCATTTATGATACGTTGCAAATGTATAAGTTCTAACATAGGGACTGTTTTACAAAAATTGAAGTGCTCACATGCACTTCATATATGAGATGTAGAGGATTCCTACCTAGTTGGGATACATATATATTACAAGAGGGGTAGGAATATACATTAATTAAGTCCAAAAAAGTTTCTAAGATCTTGAAACATGGGTTAAGTTTTCTTTTTGTGGCAGTCCTCTTCAACCTTCAACTTTCTCTTTAAACTTGGAGTGCTTGTTTCCCTTTGAGAGAGGCTGTAGAGGCTTAGTAGTGAGTAGATGTTTGATGTTTGTCTTTCGTAAAAGCCTGATATATTGGTTTGATGGCAGCAATAAACGTGAGTGTTTGCATTTGTTCTTCGGCATCCATTTTTCTGTGAAATGAAACGCAAAAAATGAGAATTTAGAATATAAGTTTGTAATTTATAAAACACTTAAACAAGGGATGGAGTAAGAAAGAATAAGATTTATAAAAATGTGTAATTTAGAATCAATACGTGCCACTACACTTGAAATTAAACCAAATGAAATTATACAGATGATGAAGAAGAAATGCATTGAAAGGGAGTGGACTTGTTGTATTCAAAAGTCAGGCCCTAGAGGTTCTGTTTTATCCATGAAATTAACTTCAAAACCAGAAATCTCTATGAAAATTCGCCTTTAAAGTACCAAATTTCTCATCAAAGTCAGCCCCAAAAGTTTCTAAATCAGCCCCTAAAGTGTCAGTTTTCCCATAAAAAGAAGCTTCACAATCATATTCTATTTCAAAATCAGATTCTAAAAGTGCACTTCCCTCTTAATAGCATCTTATAGTGCCTCACTTATACTGCCTCAGACCCTAGTTTGGGACATCCCTAAGCAGGATGTTGTTGTTTGCCTTAAAAAAAGAAAGCTTTATGCCATCCTTGTCTAACTTAGTACTTCATTTACCAATAAACACACAGGATGTTGTTTATTACCAATAAACAATGATAAACACATAACATGAAGGAATGTGAGAAATATAAAAAGTGGAAACTATGGTGATATGACTGGTTGGTGACATTACACAAAAGAGTATGACACTGAATGGATTTCCAGATGATCATAGAGTTTAAACTTCATCTCAACTACTCCTGTTTGTGCTTCCCAGTTTTTTTGAAATTGAAGCACAAAAGGCAAATGCTTATAAGCCCAAGCGTCACATTTGAGCTGGCGTGCACTTGGGATGAATGTTCAAAGAAGAAACACTTCTAACACCTTGGGGTAGTGTGAGACAGAATGACATGTTTTGTTTTAAGAGACATATCCTGGACAAACCACTTTTCAAGTAGTAACAGATAATCAAATATCATAAAGAAGACGCCAAATGAGAAAAAGGGAAAGTCTTGTTTACATTGAAACCCAGCTAGATTTGTGGTAAAATATCAAAGGTACCTATATGATCCAAAAAATATCCTGCGCACCAAGTTATATCTCACCCCAGCAGCTTTAAAGAATGATATAAATGATGAAAACCTGTTGGTTTCTGAAAAAATCCTAACCCAAGAGCTTCACCTTAAACTAAAGGCCATTTATCTTTTACGCAAGCAACAAGCAAAGGCAGATTGGATTACTTTTGGGGATCATGACTCTAAACTTTTCTATGCATGAGTGAAGAAGAGGAAGGCTACTAATCACCTAATATCCATAAAGAATACAGAACAGATCGTTGTTGAAGGCAAGCTGGCAGTATCAGAGGTGTTGGTTGAGTTTTATCAAAAACAATTGGGCAGATCTAATCCAACTGAAGATATTAATGGAGAGATTATCAGAATGGGAGACTGCTTGACAATTAGACAACAGTTGAAGATAATTTCCCCTATTACAACTGAAGAAATTAAGAAGTGCATGTTTGAAATTCCCAATAATAAGAGTCCAGGTCTTGATGGATTCAGCAGTGGATTCTTTAAAAGCCAGTGGAGGAAAGTGGGGGGCCTGGTTACCCAAGCTATTCAAGAATTTTTTATAAAGGAGGACACTATCAAACAAATCAATGCTACAAACCTTGTGGTCATTCCCAAATGTGAAGATCCCAAAAGCCCTACTGATCTTAGGCCAATAGCTTGTTGTAATGTCATATATAAAGTTATAGCTAAGATCATCTGCAATAGACTTAAAAAGGTCTTGCCTAGTATCATCAATTTGAACCAGGGAGCCTTTGTGGAAGGAAGAGAGTTGGTACACAATGTTCTTCTCTCTCAAGAACTTGCAAGAGGATACAATAGAAAGAACATCTCTCCCAGGTGCTTAATGAAACTGGATTTACAAAAAGCATATGACAATGTGAGCTGCAAGGCCATCATCCAGATCCTCACTTTGTTGAAGTTCCCTTCAAAATTTATTAACTGGATAAAATACTGTGTGACTACTACCTCGTATTCAATACATTTTGCTGGAGAGAATTTTGGTTATTTCAGAGGGGGTAAGGGCATTAGACAAGGAGATCCAATTTCTCCTCTGCTGTTTGTCATCATTATGGAATACTTGTCAAGAGCTTTTATGTGGTTTGCATCTAAAGAGCATTTTGGTTATCATCCAATGTGCAAGTCTCTGAAACTCATCAATATTATCTTTGCTGATGATCTTATAGTAGCCTGTAAAGCAGATATAAAATCCATCACCTGTATTATGAGAGCTTTGCAACATTTCAGGGATACCACTGGACTCAATATCAATCAGGGGAAATCTGAAATTATCTTTGGAGGAATCAAACCTCAGGAGGAAATCGAGCTACTGCAGTTAACCAAGATGAGGAAAGGACAACTGCCATTCACATATTTGGGGGGGGTCCTATTACCTCATCTAGAATCAGTGCTAAGGATTGTGAAAGGCTTATTGAGAAAATGACAACTAAGATCACTGCATGGACTTCAAAGAACCTCTCTTACGCAGGCAAATGCAAACTGATCAACTCTGTGTTATATGGTATTATTGGTTTTTGGTGTAGACTGTTTGTAATTCCTACTAAGGTGATGAAGCAGGTTCAAGACCTTTGCAGAAATTTCCTTTGGGGCTCTACCCAAGAAAGGAAAAGAATTCCTCTGGTAGCCTGGGAGGACATCTGTATGCCCAGAAAATACAGGGGCTTGGATTCAAAAACCTGGTTTTGTGGAATATATAAGGCGAATATCATGAAACTGATCTGGGATATTTCATTGAAGAAGGATTCCCTTTGGATCAAATGGGTACATATAAAATATCTGAAGAAGGGCAGTATTTGGGATCATCATAGTAGAAATGATAGCTGCTTTTATTGGAAGAAACTGATCCAGGTGAGAGACTGTTTTGCTGAGATGGATTTTACTACTGCCTATAACCCAAATGCAGGATACACTTGGTTGTTGGGAGAGAAACAAAAGGCAGACTCGGTTGAGTTGGTGTGGAATAAATTTACAATCCCAAAGCACAAATTCATCTTATGGTTGATATGCAGGGGAAAACTTCAAACTAAATGCATGATGGCTAGATTCTTATCTATTGACACTTTATGCCAACTATGTATGAAAGGCCAGGAGGATGTCCAACACCTACTTTGCAGCTGTGAATATACTAAGGCAATCTACTGCAAACTCTTGCCATGGTGTAATTATAATTTTGCTGGCCAAAAACTTATAGACTTGATGAGGGGATGCTTGAGGATACATCCAGTGAAGAAAAGAAGGAAGATTATCTCTATTTTTGCAGCTACTGCTTATGCGATTTGGAAGGCCCAAAATCAAAAAAATGTTCAAGGGAAACATAAAACAGAAGAGGAGGTTTTTAGGGAGATAGTATATCAAGTGGGAGTTTATTTGGAAGGGAAGAAAGTTTAGGTGTTATCTGTTTTTGTGATGCTCCATAATATGTCGTTTTAGGAGTAGGCTGGGAGATTATTGTCTTTGTATTGTGTGGTGAACTTTGGTGATGAAATATATTTGCTTTCGGTTAAAAAAAACGTTTGAAGTGAGAGATTAATTCCACAGCAGCAGCGACAAGGAAGCTCTAGACTAAGACGCATACACAGGATATTGTACCTCGAATGAATGTAGGGTGGTAAGGCAGCTTTCCAACCTCAAGCATCACATCTATGTCCCTCCCACAACTTGAAGCAATCTCAAATCCATCTCTGATTTCAGCCACAACCTCTCGAAGATCTCTTGTTCCACGTGAAGCAGTATTATCCAAATTACTTAACTTTGAAGATACAAATTCACGATCTACCTCAAAAGTCACTCCTTTTGTCTTAACATTTCCATCTCAGGGACTCTTTGATACAATGGTGTCAGAACTGGCCTTCTCCTCTGATACATTGGTTGAACCTGTAACATCACAGATAGAGCACTCTTCATTTCCTGATGAATGTGGTTTGGGGCTACTGTCAGAACTGTCTTGTGATGGTGATCCTCTTGAAACCGGAGAACCCTTACCAGATTTAGTGGGCATTGGCTTTTTAGAAAGGTATTCTTCCGCGTATTTGGATGACACAGTTGGTTTCCTACGAGACATTCTTTTCATTGATTGCTCTACCCCAGTGCTGCGCCTTTGCAAGGACTTTCCACGGGTACCTGAAGTCCCCTCTCCTGCCCTCTTTTTCTTGAAATCGCTACTCATCTTCTTCACCACAGGTTCATTCACGTGCATCTCGATTTCTGTTTCATCCTCCAAATCAGGAATCCCCTCCCTCCTCCTCACTTCACCCGAATCCGGGCTACAATTAGCTGACCCATATGCATGGCTTCCATAACCCATGTAACTCGAGATCCCTTGGTCAATTCCATCAAACGGATTCAGGAAGTCCCAAACGGAGGTCGTTGAAGAAGGAGGTGGTGGGACATCCTCTGGAGGGCTGGGCTTCTTAGTCTGGTTCATATTCTCTCAGATGGACCTAGAGGCGGATATCCAAAGAAATCCTCTCCATTCTGATAATGGGAGCTCCAATACTCATTGGAATATCCAGTCGAAGCAGCTCCAGTTTGGCGAATTACAGTTTTCATCTCAGGGGTATGTCTCTTCATGTAATAAGCATGTGTATCGGAATTACCGCCATTATAGGCCCGAAACTGTGAATTGGGTTGGGCATTGAAGGTATAGAAAGGATCCCAAAATCCCATCTGTGGAGGAGCCTCTTGATTCATTACAACGTAAGGCCCCTGAGTTCCCATTGGCAAATCTGGATGCAAGAAAGGAGAAGCCGGCCAAGAGTGCCCTTCATCTTCATCCCTTTCACAAAAATGGTTCGAATTCAAATGCTCCTCATCGGAGGCATCAGATGATAAAAAACACACAGGATGGCACACAACTTGCTGAAATGCCATTTAAGAAAACAATAAACTGAAGGTGAATAGCCCTAACATTTGATTATTCTACAAGTTAATCTTATAGTGTTTTGAGTGCTTTTGCATTCCTAATTCATGTAATGAAAAGGTAGGCCCTCCTTGACAGTAGGTCAAATAAGCAAGAAATAGATGGGCAATATATATCTTCATACCAGTAACAAGAGTAAGGGATTCCATTTAAGTTATTTAGAAAAATAAATGAGGGCATGCAGTAAACACACTAAAAATGAAACAACAAAATAAAGGAAGATGAAACAGAAATGAGATATACTGAAGGTCTACCAACACAATGTTTAGTTCTTGAAAATTGGGAGAAAACAAAAGAACTACAACAATAATCCCAAAATTTATTAACACAGAAAGCTGTAAAGTGGGTGGAGTTCCAGCGGATTCCTAAATTTTCTAACACACATAGCAGTGAATTTGACCTCTAAAAAATTTGAATAATCCCAAAATTTATTGACACAGAAAGCTGGGAATTTGAAGTCTTAAAAGTTGAATAAGTGTATTAAAAAAGGGTGAATTTCCGAATGGAGCGAATTATAAAACCCTTGAACTTCTGGAAGAGGATGAACTGGCTGCAGTTTCAGTGGATCCCCAAATATTCCGAAAATTTTTGAACACAGAAAACTGTGAATTCGAACTCCTAAAAATTGAATAAGTGTATTAAAATTTGGGTGAATTTTGAAATGGACTGATTTAAAATTTAGGTTTCCTTTTTTCAGCAACAAAAACCTGTAAATTTGAAGAATCTGAAATTGGAAGTAAAGAATTGAAGATTTGCGCAGCTTATGAATATGAAGATTATGAAGGAGGAGGGAGATTCTGTGAATTACCTGGAAATTGAAGAGGAAAACCACGTAGGATGAGCGAGAAGAACGAATTAAAATCAGAACTGGGAAGAAAGTGATGTAGTGGGGCAGTGGGCGGCAAGAACGACCAATAGCATCCGTGTACGTAGGTTGGAAGAAAAATAAACGGAGAAAACAAACGGAAAAAGAGCTAATCTAACGGAGATAAACGCAGTTGGCTCTTATAATATAAGGGGGGATATATATATATATATATATATATATATATATATATATATATATATATATATATATATATATATATATATATATATATATATATATATATATATATATTGCAAGCAATACGTATATAGACATGTTGGTCATGAAAAAGTATCTCAAAAGTTCCC